GGGGGGGGGTTCTTTATGGGCAACCAGCTGAGACCACATGCAAGGAACATCCTAATTGGTATTCAGGCCAGGGCTGTCACAGCTTCTCACACGCGGTCCTCACTGCATACACATTCCTTTCTGTTGCCACGGCGCCGGGCCCCGGAGAGAGTTTCTTCGACGTCAGAGACGAACCCGTCCACTCACAGAAACCCCAGTAAATCCCCGTGTCCATCAGCACTAGTCAAACAGGAGTCTTGTCACTTCTATTGTCTGCCATCTTATCTCCTTTTCAGCTCTTCAGCCCCTTTTGTTCATGCTCAGTCAGAGACACTATGGTTTACTAATTAAATGATTCCCTTACACTTTCACTGGGGTGTCAGCGCCTCCTTAAACAGACACCCCCCTCCTCCCCAAACGTAGTTGGTGGCTTAAATCAAGTATTTTATATGCACATCACACGTTTGTTCAAGGCTTTTGGAAGCTATGAAATATTATCTCTGTATTTCTACAATTTGGGAACAATATGTTTTGGGTATTTTTAATAAAAATTTTAAACTTTTGAGATGTTGTCATGGTGCCCATCAGCCCATCGGCTCGTTATTTTGGGTTTTACCAACCGTTTTATAAAGGATCCGACTGGAACTGAAACCACGTCCTGTTAAATTCACTTGTAGCTCGAAGCCAGTGAGCAGGTGTCACTTCACATTAACATACCTGCCAACTTTCAAAGTCTCTGAGTGTTTTTGGAGGAGGGCAGGTGGTGTCGAGGAGTTGCGGACGTGTGGTGTGTTTGTGTGTGTCTGTGTGTGAGTTGCACTTTCTTTCACTCTAAGTGTTGCAGTGCAACCAAAAGAAGTTTGTTGATGTCTGCAGTTATTTTAGTTATTTTATTATCGTAGCATGAAAGTAGAAGTTATTTGATACATTTTCACAAATTTTCCAAACAGCCTATTTCTTTTCCACAAGAAAAGGAGGTTGGTGGCATGTTGAAATCTCTTTTTGGTACTTTTGATTGTGTCTCTGTTCTTTTCAGTGTTGAACTTGTGGTTCCAGTTCACTTTGTATAGATTATTAAACACCGGCTCTCTTCTACAGTGTGTCTTTGTCCTGTCCAGA